TGACAATTCCTGTAGAATTTTTCAATAGTCCTTGATAAATCCATAGCAGATGGAAATCTTACCACGCATCCCCTCTTTTGTGTACCGTCCGGGCAGACGATTTGTACGCTAGATGAACTGCTTATGGTTTTTACATGTAGACATCATTACCTCTTGTAACCTCACTAACGTTGCGAATGCACCTTTGTGAGGTGGCTTCTCTCAAGCCAGGTGGCGCGTTTCGCCTTACCTAATTGTTGTCGCAGTGGTAGCTTGTCGGCAACAAAATATTTTTAACAAGCTACACTACTTCGTACAACTTACTCTGGTCTTCTACTGGTACTCTACGATCGGTTTTGAGTAATGATGCGTGGTTAGTTCACTTACAAGTCTCAGAGGAGAGGTAACAAGCCATTCCAGCAGACATAAAGCATTGTCTCCCTCAGTTACCATTTCTTCAGTTAAATACAGGTTCGTTAAGCAGTAAGTACATGCTTATTGTGATGAAGTTGGCAAATCGAAGCCGATGTATACAACTCAATGTATCACATCCACTGCTGCATGAAAGGTGAGTTACTGTATGAAGGTGAGTTACTGTATGAGTTACTGTGTAAAAAAGATTGGTTATTTTCGCCATACTTTTGCTAAATCACCCCGTGATACCAAATTACTTCTGTATAAAACGTTGATTCACCCTATTCTAGAATACGCATCTGTCGTTTGGTACCCTCACAAACAAGGTGACCTGAAAATCCTCGATAGCGTTCAACGTAAGGCCATCCGCTTCATATGCCATAACTACAGCCACAACTTCTCACCAACACAGGCTCCACAATCACTTAACATTGTACCATTACATTCTCGTTATTGCATCGAATCTTGAAAACTATTATATACAGTCATCAACTCCTCTCGTGGCATCTTTGGTGGTAACTACATCGCATTTATGGAAGAATCTTTCACCCGCAGCTCTCACACCTTGAACATAAAACTTTTATTTGCTCGTACTAACACATTCAAATTTAGTTTTTTCCCACGTACTATAGACGTCTGGAATTCCCTACCGGGCAGTATTCGCTCACTATTCCGGGCAGTATTCGTTCACTGTCTTTACAATATTTCATTGATGCCGCTATTTAGAAAATAGTTAAAGATCGTGTTTGCAACGCCATAGTGATGTTTTCTCATGTATTGCTGTAATGCATTTCTGTTTTATTGTTGTTGATCTGTTTGTATTAGTTTTGTATAACTCAGCCACTCCTGCTATAGCTCCGCATTAGGGCTGCAGTATATTCAAATAAAATATATAAATAGGCTGCACAACCAATACAATCATTCACAATAACTCAAAGAGCTTTATGTGCTACAATTACAACAAACATAAGAAGAAAAATAACAATGCCATATCGACTCCCAGAAGGCGCAACGTTTGTCTTATCTTAGAGACAAGAATGCAGTACTTGACAATACATCGAGGAAAAAACTAAAGGGCAGTACGGCGTGTCGCAAATTGCAACTTCCGCTCCCAGCCTTCCATTCAAGGGAAAAGAAAAGGAGCGGTGGTTCAAAACTCATGGCCAATTTATTTTTTTTAGCGCGATTTTTACGACACCTGCAGGCGGATAAGAAAAACGTAATCTCGCTCAATGACGCCACGGGAATCCTAGGTCGGTCGTCGACATTTACGACTCCCACAGGAGCCATTGGCCGGCGACGTGCCAGGACGGGCTGCTGCCACGAGGGGCACCGAGTCGGAGCATGTCTCTCCCGTACTGTATGCGGCCAAAAAGCGCAATGCACGCTCAATGACGTGGCAGCAATTGTGTGAACGAAGAGAAGAAACCATTAGGATGATTTTTATTTCATCTTTTTTTGTACCCTCAGCTTTCAGACTATGTTTATGCAATAGTGGCGGTGCGGTTGACGACCAAGCGGCACGTTCGCGTATGTTCACCCGCAATACAAAAAGACATAACGGCGAAAATTTCCCCAATATGCTTATGTAAGGGCGCATCTCTCGAGTCGAATGTGGGAGTGCTTCGTTTTTACGTCTTTGTTTCGGTCTGTCGAATGTTAGTGAAGTATCCCGTCAGATAACTAACCCTTTTTTTCCCAAAGACCATACCTCAGCATTGTTTGCCCCAGTTTGAAACACTAGTAGTTTATGCGAAAGCAGAGCGCGAGATGAAATTGCGGTAACTTTCAGTATGTTTTGTTGTGGTGGTTTTCGTTCGCGCTTGCATCAACTTTTATACATAACGAGGATGGTTTCATAACATGTTGATGAGGCAAAGTAAAAATGGCGTGCCCGGGAGCTGCGCCTGGCTCGAAGCGAGTAATTGCGAAGGCCAGGCAGTAAGACGAAATGTGGTTGTAATGTGAGCGCCCGAACTAAAAAACAAAGTTCTAGAGTAGAACATCCGCTTGGGATTTAGTGCTAACCGCTGGAGGAATCCACAGCAGTAAAAAATTACTTGACAGCGGTGATGGTACACAGAAAGTGCCGGTAAGCGGTGTTAGTTCTCTGTCGAATTCAAATACCAATGCAGACATAGTTTTTCAAAAATGCTGCAGTAAATAAAAGCTGAACGTCATCAAAACTTTTCCAGTGACATATTTCGCTTTGATTCTGTCTTCAATGCTTACAACCAGCGGGTGAGGCCACTTGGACATACGTTGAACTTCACTATTACAACTTAGGTGTGTTGCCTCATACACAATGTCCCTCAACTCACAAGTATATTCTATTCCAGACCGTACTACTTGCGCTCTGAGATTATACTTATTCATTTCGCTTCCATTGCTTGCCAGAGGGGCCTAGTGGTTATAAAGCTGGACAGCTGACCCAATGATCGTGAGATGATCGCAGGTCACAACAGCTGCATTTTCGATGCAGGTGAAAAATGCTTGAGCCCCATGTATTTTCATGCATTCAGGTGCACGTTAGACAATCTCAGGTGGTATAAATTTTAGAAGCCCTTCACTACTAGTCAGTCATAACCATATCCTACTCTTGGAAACTTCAAACCTTAACATTTTCTTTATTTTGTTGTATAGGTTCACATGCTGCCTTGTATTTAGGGCCACGACCTTAGGTCGATAAAATCACCCATTAGTCTACTCACTCGGACTCGTTAAGACACAAATCGCTACAATAAGATAAGTCCGAGTGAGTCCGCTAAAAGAAAATTTGCGAGTGTGTCAGACGGAGTGAGTGGCTCAAGAAAATTTTGTCAAGTTTGAGTGCGAGTGAGTCCGAAGTGCATGATATATTTATTGAGTGAGAATGAACAAGTTCGAACGTTTTCTGCTGACCAATGTTCATATTTACTCATCTTCTACATTACTATCAGCCTTACTTGTATTCACGCTTACACTCATGTCTACTCACATATATTCTAGAGCAGTGTCTTTCATAAACAATTTTGATATTTATTCATCACCGGCGCAAATTTCCCCAGGCTGGGCCTCTGCTCCTTCCCCGACAACACTGACATGGAAGTACTGGATAAGTTTACCTTATGTTTTCATCACTTTCAAGAAAATTGACCTTTGGTTCACAACAAACACAACTCATATTCGAAGGTACTATATGAAAATTGCAAAGAAAGGAACTGATTCTGTGAGATATTGGCATTGAAGAGGATTGACACTTTAGGTGAAAATGAGTATTCAAGGCTAATGGACCCATGACACGACTCACTTGGACTCATGCAGCCTCAGATCAAACTGTGAGTCTGAGTCTGAGTTAGTGTAGAGGAATGACACTTTGGTGAGTTTGAGTCCATTGAGTCCAGTCGAAGAAAAGTTTAGCGAACCTGAGTTCAAGTGAGTCAGCTCGGAAAAAATCAGGTGAGCTTGAGTCCTTGTGACGCTGAATCACAAGATATATCTCATGAGTTAGTGTGAGTGAGCTCCACAAGTTTTGCCGACCTATGTTCACAAATGTACAGCTAACTAATAGAAGAGCCTTACATAGAAAAAAACACCAAGAAACTGCGAAGTGGATTCACTACAGATTGGCGTTTAGGCAAGGGCTTTTTTGTCGAACAGTTAGGCAGAGTGGCTTCTCACAGCGAGATGTACCATGCCTTAAATACAAGAGAAAATGGTACACTTAGGAGCGTCAATTTGTCTTTATTAAGGCACACTACTAAAATGGCGACACCCCATAGGTCTTAAAGGCTGCGCTAATGGTACTTAAGCTAAAACAAAAAAAATGGGTTCGATAAATTGGCCAGGGTGTATTCGAGCAAATGCGGAGCTCCACCAATTTTGTGTCCTCTAGGAAACTGCGAGTAGTTTATTTTAATTCTGCTATCCTAAATGACAAAAAGGACAATACTTGGATCAGTTGGTACACAGTTCAATGCGAAAAAGGAGGTCATTTTTGTGCAATAAAATTCACTTGCTATTGCAGCTGCACCCGCTTGTCTTTCTTTTCTACTTGCAGTGTATGTACAGCTGTTTTTGCAGATGATGACAGGAAGCTTTTATACACTTTAGTAAGTATACCACAACACCGACACATTTCGCTCAATGCAAGATGGTCATGTACTTGTATCTAGGTGCGCGTTAAAAAACCATAGATTTTCCCACTGTGTCCATTTTTTCTTCGTACGTGACCGCCTAAAGTTTCACTTTTGCTAACTGCCCACCACATCGCCCTTGCAAACATTCCACTACACCCCATCATCGATCCACCACTTCACCGACCATAAAGTCGTGTTATTGAAGGGGGAATGGAAGCGACGTATAGCTACCATTTGCGAATGAGAAAATTTCTTGTATAAATATATGCAGTGTATGTCACGTCTTTGATGATGTAGCGGGCGATATTCGTGAATGGTTCACGGTTTAGCGATGAAATCCTCCAGTGCTTCGCCCCACTCATCATCATTCACTTCGTGGGTATGCTACAATTTTGTAATATATGCTCCTATGTTTTTATTACACGTGAAATATGTTTGTTTCTTAAAAAAGACATTCACTACATTTTACATATTTTGTTACTTATGCAGGTCCCAGCAAGCAGCCCAGCGTTATGACAACAATTTGTGGAGGTTTCTTCACTTTGGTAAGGCGAGCTTTGTTCTAACGTATGTTACACGTCTGCGCCTCACCGAAACTTCTCTTTTTGTTCATTGTCACATCAATAAAATTCTCAATAATCGGTGCTTGCGGTGCAGCCCACGAAGTGCAATGCAATTTAAGCCACTTAAAACAATTCTCAAGTGCCGCGAAACTTGTATTTTTATAACGGATGATAGGAATAAACGGGTTGCATAAAAAAACAAGTTGAGATGGCAGGCTGTTGTGGGGAAAACTAACATCGGATGGGATCGACCACCACACGTCAGTGATAATGAAAAGAAGGTTGCCGATTTCCCGGACATGCTTAAAAATTCAAATAATTTACCAGAGGTGCCACAAGCCTTAAGAGCCAATGCATAGCATATTCTGATGTTTTGAACTCTGAATGTCTTTTAAAAATCAACGATTGACTCATAATGCATGCCCGAAAGTAGAAGCCACCACCGCTCTCACAGTCTAGTGTGTTTTTAAAGTCGGATTTGCCGTAGTACAAAGCTTGAAATTCGACGAGATGATGCATAATGGACAGTACAGGAAGGGACGGGCAACCATGTCCTCTCGTCTTGTATTGTGTGTTTTTGCCCTCAAAGTTTCGCTCAACTTTGCCGCAGTAGTTTTTTACAATGCAGGGAAGCATACCTCAAATTCAAAGTAAGTTCAGTATTCTGAATTTATCGTTTTATTCTATTATTATTGAAGAACTTTGTGTTTGATAAATTTCTGTCTGCACAGGCAACAGCCATAGTTTATTGTTTAGGCCAATAATGTGGAACGCGGCTATTGCTCTTAGCGAGTTGTTTCATCCTAAAAAAATATATAAAAGCTGACAGTGCAGCGGCCTCTCATTCATATAAAGAATACATTGTTAAAACCAACATCGTTATAAGAACGTTCGACAGTACTATGAATTTACTCGTCATTTTCACGTGACCAGTGGCAAGAATTGTACGAAAATGTTATGAAAGGTAAAATAAAACACACTGCTCAGAAACGTTTACGGAAAAAGACGTTTCCATTTCACAGACTTGTGCCTTGTTCACTATGCAATAAACATGCTGCTATTTCAAGAATATACTATTGGCAAGACAGACAATTTCGAACAGTGGTTGCAAAGTGCACCTAATCGCCCGACAGAACCGACTATGGTTTGGACCACAAGACTCATCGGAATATCGCCAAGTTGTTAGACAAAGAAGTAAATTTGACTTCAGTTTACCACTCAGAATAGTTTCTCATCAGAACTGCGAATAGCACACTCAACCGAAATTGTGAGACAGTTCAACTGATCTACACACGCTCCTTACTTCGGGTAAAGCGCATCCTAACTCCCACGCAGCAAGTTTTTTTTCCAATAAGGAACGACCGTGTACGAAGCACACTTAGGGCATATCGCTCTCAATACAATATCGGCAAGGCACTGTCACGTGAATATTTGCTTAGTTGTGAATATCATTATAAGTACTTATGCAAACCACTTTAGGAAAAGTATTATTAATGGTTAGTGCACTGTAATGGTAACAATGTGTACTCTGTTTGCTTCACGTAATGCCATTCCTCTACTTTTTTTTTATGCTGCGTAATAGTTGGGATAACCTGTGTTCAAGCTTTCACGAACATTTCATCACATTTCAGCAGTTGCACCACAGTAGGGACTTAATTACTTCGTACATATCTGAAATAAGGGAACAGGTACATTGTGGACAGGGATCCCCTGAGAAAAGCCTCAACGCCTTTTCATTGTTCTTTTGTGGCTTACTTCTTCTTACTTCTTTAATATTACGCCTCCTGACGAGACAGCTTTGCCATTGCCTCGGCATCTTTAGAAAAGTATTGCGAAGTAGAAATATTATATATTGCCTAAAAGTACTTTTACGCTTGTCCACATTACTACTGTTTTTTTTTTCCAAAAATATAAAACCACCAGTGCTGTGAACAGACCCATGCAGAGTGCCACGCAGCCAGATTACTCAAAGCGTTGGTCAGGCAAGTTCACGTTCAGTGCGTGCTTCAGTTACCGCCTTTATTTCACTGCTCGTAGCTGTCTGCTGTTGCTGACTCACGAAAGAAACATTTAGGTCTGAAGGCTGAAGTGTATACTGATTTATTGCTGCCCCATCGCGTAGCTTTTCCTACAAGGGCCTGAATATCAGCACTAATCACACCTATGTTTTCCCTCCTCATTGAACAGTTCGCAGGCAATGTTGGCATGCCTGCTACCCTGGTGCAGCCCTAGTGCCCAGGGTAATCGCGCTGAAAGGGTGTTCGCAGCAACTGAAAGCGCTGCGAGACTGTGAGCAGCGGGCGTTCTACGACTCTCGCACCAATAAGAACGGCACCTGTGAGTAGTTGCCTGTCTACTTAATCCTGTAGCAACAAATTGTTAGCGGACGGATTCATTCCTAGGAAAAACTATAGCTTTGTGATGTTTGTGGGTGAGGTATAAGGTGAAGGAAGGAGTAACATTAGGAAGGCATCGCTTATTCCTACGTATTTCCTCTATACAGTGATTACATCGTGTACCAATGCCCGGTTAGATTATCGTGTTTCTTTTCTGTCGAGTAGAGAGTGCAGAGATATGTACAGGTGAATCATCGGCTGAAATGACATTTACTACGCTATCAACAATGTTCCAATTTTTTGTGTGTGCATTGGGCACGTATATATGTAAACATCCGTGCACATTAAAAATATCGAAAGCATATTCAGAAAAACACTCCATGATTATTGTGGACTCTTACAACCCTTGAAAGGGCCCCCTAGAACTTCTGAAGCACCTATCTTTATTGGTAGTTTGCTTACAGTGACGGCTGGGGAAAATTTTAGCATTAATTTAGGCATCTATATTATATGATTTAGTATTTTATTCACGACATGAAATCACTGCATCACTGCCGACCGCATCAGCACGTAGTGGCACTCACCAGAGCTATTACTGGTGAACATGATGATGGAGAGCACGTGTCTGTGATTGCCTAAATGAAAAAAAAAAAAGAAGCGATCGTGGCGTGGATAAAAACTCAGGTTACTGGTGTATGTTTTTTTTATTTACCATGCTTTTTATTCGAACGCCGAGCAGACGCAGACGTAATAAAAGATAATACTGCGACTACAAGGTGCGGTTAGGTTTTCTCCTCTGGAATTTTGGCTTGGGTGGGATCGCAGTGTCCATAATAATAACTTCTCTCTCTCTCTTCCTTGTGCTCATTTTGTGAGTTTGCGAGCTGTGTCTTTCCGCGCGTGCGGTAGGCTCTTGATTGTTTTTGAAGGTGCGGAATTCACCATTGTAGCTCGTCGGGTGGCTCCCAAAACTCGTGAAGGGTCAACAGTACTTCGAAGCCAGTGTGGGCACTTACTTTTCTTATTGCGTATTTCCCGGCAAAAAGTCCCAGCCATTCTGGTGCCCACGCCAAACAGAGTCCAAAAAATTATGCTGATTTCTTGCACTGAAAACAGTGAACCGAAAGAATATTTTGAAGAGAAAAAATGTTTAGTCTCATAGCCAAAATGGTAGTCAAATGGTATCTGAGTATTCTTGTTGTTTTTTTTTTTGTCACAAAAATAATTTGAAGCTATCGCTTGTTGTTCAGTATACGTTATGATAAGCCAAGGGCTTTTTAAAATCATATAAGATCAAGAATCTTGCTGCAATTTTTTAGTCATACACGCCTCTAGAAATTATGCCAGAATATTCTGTTTTTTGCTTTTTCCCTTGCAATAATGCCCATTGTATGAAAACTTGAGTTATAAGTTCTCTCTATGCCGAAGATATTACGTTTGTTCAAATTATTTTGAGAGCCCTCGTGCTCCCCAATTTTACAAGAAAGATATCAATAAATTGTAAAAGCCCTCATTGTGGTCGACACTGAGACAAATATGCACTACATGCTGCTACAATAAACATCTGCTTTACGTTTGAGTTAAAGGTAAATAATCACATTGTATTGTATACATGGAGTTTTATCATTTTAACGATTACTTTAAGGAAGGACATATTTTTTTCTCATTTTTCATTATAGGAAATGAGGAACTTCTGCAAAAAAGCTGCCGTGTGACCTGATGGGAATATATCCGTCCGTCAATAGCGAAATTCAAACAATTTTGTCTTCGTCAAATCATAAAATACAATCATTAAAATTGATATATAAAAGAACTGTTTATTTCCTTTTATGTAGTGTACAACATAGATTTTTATTGGAGCGCAACGTGATGCAAATATTACGTCTTAATATAAACGGAAATGGCGATTTCCTCAAATTGAGATATAGTTTCACGAAGCTTAAAAACATCGTTGTTCCGAAGGACTGTTTACGAAAAATTATATGGTCTGTTGATTAGGATTTCATTTTTCGAGTGTGCATATATACCCTAATATTTTAGTGAAAGGGCAAGCATTCCAGATTCATGCGAATATTCTGAAGGCGCTTATGAAAAAATACCGAAATAGTATGAAGCTTCAAGCATCGCAGGCAAGCGTGTTTGCCAAATATGTAAATCATTTTGGGCATTCGAGCAAAAAACAGTAGTCTAAGAACAATTTTTCTGACAAACAACACTCCGACGTCATTCAGGAGGCTCCTACATCACCAACATATATCTTGCTCTGCCAAATATCTTGGAATTTCATTGCTTTCAGTGCGAGAATTCAGAAAGTTTTTTGTATTTCATTTCGATTGGTCGCCAAAATGGCTGGGACGTTTTGCACGGTATGACGCTATTGTTTTTGTCATGTTTACTTATGCAGCAAGATGCGACTGGAGGTTCGATGGTTGGCACTGCTGGCCACCAACGGCTCCGGGAGTCGTGGCCCAAGCGCCGTGTCCCGGTCTCATGCCTGGAGTTGTGAATGCCTCAGGTGATCCAATGGTTTTATGTTGTGCAGCCAGTTCTTCGATGAAGTGATAGTTTTGATGCAGTGCAGGCACTAGTGTCACGTAGGTGAACTCGCAGTGGCGCCCCTTGTTAAAAGACATATTCTGCAGTTTACCAATATATGTGTGGTATGCTTGTACACTATGTTTCACTGATGGGCATGTTATTTTAAGGGATAGTTAGGCATGTATTTGCCGCATTGATGTAACGCAAGTTGTACATTTGACACTTACCAAAGATATATCTATTTAGTGTCGCTTGTCGAACAGCTACAAAGGCAATGATCAAAGATGGTGATTATGTCCTACAACAAGGGATGAAGAATGCCCTGGAAAGTAGCCAGGAAACAAATCAAATAAAACAATTATACAAATGTGAATAGTGAGTTAATTGAGAAATTTTGGCAAAACCAAATAATATGTATAATGACAAAAGTTACGTAATTAGTAACAAACCTGTGGTGGCTTAAAGCAACATTTTTCCACAACGCAGAACACGTTCCTAGTGCAATGATTCAACACAATGGCTACCAAGGACACAATATTGGGAATGGAAATATCTGCGACGTCCCGACGTCACCTAACGATGATTTGGGATGTAATCACTCGGCCAAGGATTCAAGCGTATTTTGGCAACACTTTGCTTCAAATTATGACACATTTGCGAGAAACTGCGGGAACATAAGCGTCCGCTGTGGTGGTGTAGCAGTTACGATGTATGGCTGGTGATCCGAAAGCAACTGGTTGGATCCGGGTCGCGGCGTTCGTAATTCGATGAAGGCGAAATGCCAGAAGCCCGAACACTATGCGATGTAAATGTAGATGAAAGAACACTAGAAGCTCCTAATTCACCGAGCTTTCCACTATGGCGTGCCTGAAAATCTTGTTGCGATTTTGTCACGTTAAGCTGGAATAATGCCCTGATAACAGATTATTTGGTTAGCGAGACCGTGATTGCCAGGTGTCGCAGACCGGAGCGCAAACATAGCTTCCAATAAGTTTTGACTTAAAGTGGTATTCTCTCGATTTGTCCATGATCGCGTCAAACCAGCTTCATGTATAAAACACTTTATTTAGGAACGCAACAGCATAAATGTAAGCACGGTAATTTCGGTTCCCTCGTAGTGCATTTTCTATGACAGGTAACAAAGCGCGTTGGTACTGGAGAGCAATATCGCCTGCTTTTGTACTATATCAAAAGATGAAGGTATTGTTTTATTTTTCGCCCAAAAGAAAACGACCCGTGTGGCACACGAAAGAGCGGAGTGTCCATGAACTATAAAATGAAATATAGGCTTCGGAACATTGAAAATATAACAAGAAAGAGAAGAATGAAATGTGCTTGCACCAGTGGAATTGAAGTTCCCTCGGATTCGTAAGATTTATTTTTCCTGCTATGGCACATCCCACCCACTAAGAAAAAGGTGCCTGGCAGCAAACTAAATTCGGCTGTACAGCGCCACTTCGTTTGAACTGGATATTTTCATTTGAGTGTATGTACTAGTACTGCGACATTTGGTGCCACTGAATTTGTACGCCTTTTTTATTTTATTACTTGTGAGGCACACTTATTGCCTTGTGTTTTTATTTCATATTTTATTGCCCTAATGATGTTCTGTGCACATATTTCGCTCAAATTTGTCTTAGTACATGTTAAAGGGGCGTTTTACTATGACATTCGAGTTGCTGGCAAGTACTGAAACAAAGTAAGAATGGTAAATTATATTGTGTAGTATATCGCTAAATATTTAATAATGCATGGATTCCTGTAAGTGCCAAATTAGCATGTCATCATATGTACATATATATATATATATATATATATATATATATATATATATATATATATATATATATATATATATATATATATATATATATATATATATATATATATATATATATATATATATATATATGTATATATATATACATGGGTGTGTGTGAGAGAGAACAAAAGCGTTGTCTCTGTCTTATTTCATTACAATGGTTCAGTCGCCAAAAACGAACCAATGTGGCATAAGCCACAACAAATCCAGCGTTTTCGCCTCTGGAAAACTCCAGCTACTGGCCTGAGGGACGTTCACAGGCTTTCTCAGGAACGGAAGGCGCAAGTTAGCCGCCAACGCAAGTATCCATCCCACCACCAGTGGACGGTGTTCAGGGCTCCAAAATCGTCCTAGGGAACCAGCGGTGTACTATTTCGCGCCTAAAATGGGCAGAGGCTCTATTCGGGGAACAGGATTCACGCTTCGCAAGGCGTGGTTCTCGCTACCATTATCTGAGCTGCTAAGGGACGCCGTCCACGCTCCCTTGGTCGTGTGTCTCCACTCTGTGAGTGCTACGTGTTTTTCTTGCTCATCAGGCGCCTCACCCGAGAGCAGTGCGGAGCTCGCGCGTGCTGTCACACAACTGTCACAACAGCTCGACCGCTTGGCACCATTAAGTACCAGGGTCCATCCGGCCGCGTCACCGTATACCCTCCTGCTCATGGGTACCAGAGTTTCGAGGCTTCCAGGTTCATGTCCTCCTATGAAAAGCGACCATCAATGCGCTCAGTTTGTCCCATGCCTTGCGCAACAATAAAAAAATGGCTGATAGCTATCGACTGCGTGCGCGGTGCTTCAGGTGCATGGCACAAGTACGAAGGTGTCACGAAACGTTCGCGGTTGAATAGAGTGACCGGCTGATTACTATCTTTGGTCGGATTGGCCACGACACTTGCATGCCAAAGAAGACACATTCTGAGAATGTAGTACTGGAGAATTTTTTAGAGGCTGAAACTCCACAGTGCAGCTCATGGATCGGCAGCTTGACAGCCTGCGCTCGAGCAACCACCGCAACCAACTTTGTTTCTTCGCTACTCCGGATGGAGAACCTTCCGCTCAGTTACGGCGGTAAAATCTACGTTACACCACCAGACTTCGGACATCGTGCCGCGCATCACCAAAAGTGGCCCCTTTTAACGCTATAGATATGCATCGGCGGAATTAGCGAGGTTATTGCTCTAGGGCGAACGGGAGGTACAGGCACAGTGACGCGTCGACGTTATGCCTGAGCCAACCTCCAACCATGGCAAGAGGCACTCCTACCTGTCCTCGGTGGCCCCGTGTTGCCTGTTGGTGCGCTCAACCTGCACCTTGAAAGAAAATGAGGTAGCATCTTCCTTGCCAACGTTCCCGTACTCGAGGACCTACTCACTGATATGATTCTAGGAGCTGACTACCTCATCTCTGGTGACGTTCACCTCACCATTGTTCACAATGGAGTCAATCTCCGCTCCTACACTCCGAGACCCACATGAACTCAAAGAGTCCAAGTTGACACACCCCAACTTCAAGGGCCTATTGACACCAAGAGCAGCTACTCGAACTAGGCGGACCCGCATATGCTTGCTTCGAAGCAGTCATTGGACGATGGCTCACACTGTTTCGCTCAGAGAAGCCAGCTTTATCCATCCGAGCAGTGACGCGTACGAGTGGGCTGACTATGGCCAGCGTTCTACACTTACAACAGGTCTGCCACCAAAGGGCTGCGCGTATCAATACAAAATGGCCCTCCCCGTCTTTGGGACCCACCACTGACTCAACCCACTGGTCGAACTGGCGACCACTAGCAAGGTGCCTTCAGAAATCTTCAACGATCACAGCGTGGGGCGCAACAAGGAGGCCTTCACGAATGCGGATGTGATACCGAGCCAGAAGTGCCCAAAATATGTCTCATTTATCGAGGAATTAAAGACTTCGGAAACATCAATGCAGAATCTCCAACGTGCAGTCACGATCAAGCTCTGCAGCTTGTCGATCTTGTAGGCATTCTTCGCTGCACAAGTGTTTCCCTGCCCTAAACGCCGATAAGAATGATGACTAGTGCCCCAGACTCTGCCAGCAGAAATCGCATGTTAAGCATGCTGCGGCCCCAGCGACGCAGCCAAGGTTGCCAACCAGTGTTCGACAGCCCCACGAAGTGAGTCATAGCACCCACGAGAGAGACCCCAAATACACAGCACACACCGGCCACGAGAGATTTTTTCGGTTACAATTGCTGCTCAGGGCGCAGGGCTTGTAGGCCGACGACGACCAATGCGAAACACCCATTGTCGTCCCGCAGTGTCCAATTTTGAAGATTGACATGCCATTCTGTAACGTGGACCAGTGTAAGGAAGACAGAGCGCCGCTTGGGCTTAGGCAAGAGCTAGACTAGCGGGAAGACCAGGAAAAAAAAGTTAGATAAATAGCAGCCGGCCTGCAGCAAAGTTGTTGTCTTTTTGTCTCATTTCATTGCAATCATTGTAAAGTACAAAGACGGAGAGAAAACACCCAATGGTCGTGCAAGCTGGTCTATTGCCTCTTCGTCTTCCTCCGCTTCGCTTGCTCCAGCCAACGAGCTGCGTTGACTCTAGTGAGAAGACAATATATATATATATATATATATGTGTGTGTGTGTGTGTGTGTGTGTGTGTGTGTGTGTGTGTGTGTGTGTGTGTGTGTGTGTGTGTGTGTGTGTGTGTGTGTGTGTGTGTGTGTGTGTGTGTGTGTGTGTGTGTGTGTGTAGTAGTAGTAGTAGTAGTAATTTATTTTATTTCTTGAAAGGCAAGAAAAGGATACAGAAGCAAAAGGCGTTTCATACGCCTGACAAAGGCCTCTGCACCTGTAGTTCGTCACAGCTGCACTTTTTTTTTTTTTTTTTTTTTTTTGCAGATAGAAACAAGCAACAAAAAACTAACATGTCATGTACCACATGAGCGCTAACAAAAGAAATACAGGAATAAAAAAAAAAAAAAAAAACAAGCAACATATAATACACTTAGCATAATACAGATGCAGGAACATAAAATGGATGCATCGTATACCATAATGAACTACTTACTTTCTTAACATTAACATTCTACCTACTCTTTTTACACAATATAGATTAGTGATGATAAGTTATTTCTTTTTTGATCAAAATTTCTTTAACTTGTTTTTTAAATGTCCCTAGGCTG